AAACCCCTACATTGTTAGAGGGTGAATTATAAATGAAATATCCAGGCAAATTCATAGAGAAAGAAAAAAGATTATTGGTTACCAGGGATAATTGGAGAGGGTGACTGCTTTGTGGGTACCGGGATTTTTTTTTTTTTTTTGGAAGAGCGATTTATTAGAGAGAGAAGACAGTTCCCATGCTGTTGTGGGAGGGGAACCCAGAGCAGGGAAATCCCACAGGGATTGTTTTGAAGGTGATGGAAATGGGCTGGAGTTCAATAGTGCCAATGGCCACACATTATTCTGAATGTATTGAATGCCACTGAATTGCACCCTGCTGAAATGGTACATTTTATATTTTGTGTATTTTGTCATAATAGTAAAACTAGTTGTAAGGGTTTTCCCTATTTGAATCTAGCTTTGTTGGTCAACAGACTAACCATATTGATGTTAAATAAAGGTAACTAATTAACTTTCTTTATTTTGATTATTCCATTCCAGTGCTGTCCTCCATGATCTGATGGAACTGGAAATGCGCACACTTCAAAGAATAAGCATGCTACTTCTTATCTTCATCTCTGCCCTCCTCCGCCGGGATAATACTGATTCATACATTCATGTTTCAAGATACAACTCATATCATCAACTCATGAAATCTTTTCTTAGCTACTCAGTGTAGACCTTTGTGCACCCCCTATGGCTGGGCAACTTTTAATCCAATCCATGATATTGTTAAGGTACCGTGGTTGTGTAACAAACCACCCCATAACTTACTGGCTTAAACCAATGATAATACCTATTTTATTCACAAATCTGCAGTTGGGGCAGGGTTTGGTGAGGATAGCTCCTTTCTGCTCCACTTAGCCTCAGACAGGGCAACTTGAAGGGTAGAGTCATGAAAAAGCTCATCCACTCACATGTCTGGTGGCTCATGGGGCCATTGGCTATGGCCTCAGCCTGGGCTGTCAGCCGGGATGCCTACACACGGCCTCACCACATGGCCTAACTTTCTTACAATTTCCTGGCTGAGTTCCATTGTAGGTCCCAAAATAGAGAAAGCCAAGCAGAGCCATACTAACTTTCACATCTAACCTCAGGAGTCACACGGCTCCGCTTCTGCCACATCCCGTTAGAAGTAAGTCATTCGAGAAAATTCAAGATGAGCTACTTTTCATGGGAGGAGTGTCACAGAACTGACGGGCACATTTAAAATCATCACAAATTCTCCCTGATCTCAGAGAAGTGGACCCACCCTGAACTTCCACAGTCCTTCTCGCTTCTACAATAATGTTCTTCCTTCTCTCTCAGCGAATGTCTGTCTTCGTTCCTAGACTTTTAGCTGCATGAGACTGTGTCAACTTTGCTCAGTATCAGATCAGTAGGTAGCACTGTGTCTAAACGTTTATTGCATGAATAAATATTTTATTGCACACACTTGTTTAGTAGAAGTTCTCCACCTATGGTTGCCTGAAGACAGAAACTGTGTGTTTTACACAGCTACCACCACAGCACAGGCACTGTGGTGTCCAGCGCAAAGAAGGAGCAACATTTCCTTGTGAAATAAATTAATAAATGTATAGATGGATAACTGGATTTGTTAGCTGAGAATATATGTATATTTGTGTGTGTCGGTCGAAGGCTGTTTGTCAGATAACCCCAACAAGGACAGAAATTTAATTTTCTTACATCTCTGTATTCAGGACTAGGAAAGCACTTAAAATGGAAAAAGTAGTGAGTACATTCATTCAATTTACTAATTAAATGAATAAATAAATGAATCTGTAGTTTGCTCTTTCCTACAGAAATAAATTGAGACGTGTAAGTTGTCAAATGACTGCAGCTTATGCGATGTTTAATGACTTCTATTGTAATTTCATATTTTTTTCAATGACCACTTTGTTTACTATAAATTCTGACCTAGTCATCGTACTAACATAGTGATTCTCAAGTGGGGTTGACTTTACCACCTGAGAGATGTTGAGCAATGGCTAGGGAGGTTTCTGGTTGGCTCAACTAGGAGGATGTTACTGGCATCTAGTGGGTAGAAGCCAGGGGAGCTGCTGAACACTCCTATAAGCACAGGTCAGTCCCCCAGAAAGAAGAACAAGCTACTCACAAATTTCAATTTGTGCAAAGGTTAGGAATTGGATGAAAATTCAAGGAAACAAAGATGACTAGGACACTGCTTTTGTCACTAAGAGACAAGAGAAATAGATAGGTAAATAAATAGTTATAACAGGGTGACTTAAATGTACTCATTGAAATGTGCAGAACAAAGAGGGGTGGAATAGGGCAGGAGTCACGAACTGACCTGGACTTAACAGAAAAAGTTCTGTAGAAAGGGGAACAGCTTGTGCAAGATTACATAAAAAATACAGAGTGAAATATATCCGTCTAATCATGCCGAGAACTAGTAGGAACTCATTAGAAGGAAATGGAGATCCCCTTTACCAGGAAATAAACACCTAAAATGCACATTAAGGCCTCCTTTGACATCTCTAATGGATGTTCAGCACTGGCAGCCATCTTAGGAAATGTTCCAATGTACATTTTTGATTTAATGAATGACAGATACATTCATGGAGAAAAGGAGGCTTAAATTCTTTTTAACATTAAAACAGAAAACCTCTAAGGCTGGCTGTGAATCCTGACTTTTCTTGGGAGGGGGGGATACTTCTGTCATCTACATATCCTCTTCCCCTCATCGGTCTATTGTCTCTCAGCTCTAAGTCCACCCTTCTCACCCTGCTTTGAAAGCTTGGAGCTGGGCCCTGTAAACATTTCCTCTCTGTTAGCTGGTAGAATGTTAGGCTTTCTCAGGAGAGATCAGTGGTGTGATCCTGAAAGGGGCTGATAAAAGAGAGACATTTTCCTTTTATATTCTCATCCAGAGTTGTTGCTGCTGCTATTATTACTATTCAGTGCGAGGAATACGTGACATGCATACCAATCCACATTTTGAAGACTCATACTTTAAAACTTTTTATAATGTCCACACACCAGTGAAAAGTTGGGATCAGGCACTGTGGCTCACACATGTAATTCTAACACTTTGGGAGGTTGAAATGGAAGAATCTCTTGAGCCCTGGAGCTTGAGACCAGCCTGGGTGGTAAAACAAGGTCTTGTTTCTGAAAAAGAACAATGTGAAAGTTAGCCAGGTGTAACGGTGTCTGTAATCCCAGCTACCTGGGAGGCTGAGGTGAGAAGATTATTTAAGCTGGGAAGCTGAGGCTGCAGTGAGCCACAATTGCAGCATGGCACTCAAGCTCTGCTGACAGTGAGATCCTTTCAAAAAAAAAAAAAGTTGGAGGTGAGAGATTGAAGATAAAAAGGCCAATCTCTCCTGCCCTCCTATGAAGTAGTTTTCAGTTCCTACTTTCTGCTTGAAGTCCCTGTTTATTTTATTTTATTTTTAGTTTCATAGGTTTTTGGGGAACAGGTGATATTTGGTAACATAAGTAAGTTCTTCAGCAGTGATTTGGGAGATTTTGGTGTGCCCATCACCTGAGCAGAATGCACTGGAATCTCCCTTTAGCTTGGGTAATTCACGTGGTGAATTACTTTGAGTTAGACTTTCTGGTTCCTGGATTTAACAGTAACTGCATCTATAGTTTTGGGCAAAGCATCCACATTTTATGCATTGGAATCACCTTGTTTTATAATTAAGAGTATTTTAAATTGTTATTGAAAGGGAGTACACTTTATATAGTGCCCTGGAAAATGTAAATAATATAGGGAAAAAATGCTCTAACGAGTACTCTGGCATACAATAAGTGTTCAATAAATGTTCCCCCCCCCCAAAGCAATAATCTGTCTTCTATCACAGAGACGGGGACTTATCTTTGCCAGTATTAGCAGGACCCTATTACATTAAGACAATGACTCCTACACATATACAATAAGAGATTTGCCTATCCAGTCCTAGCCAGCTAGCAAGTTAGTAAGACAGTTGTGGTAACATTAGGACGATTGAATAGAGTAATAATAACAGTCAACATTTATTGAGCAAACCATGGATGAAGCAACGTTCCAGCTGGTTTTGCATATATTAGCTCATTGAATTTTTACAGCAACTGCATTAGCTCATGTAACGGCAAATGTTCTTCCATCTTGTCATTGGGGATACTGAGGCTTCTACTATTTAGACCATTTGTCCACGTCACAGAGCTAGGAAGGGGCAGTGAGGATTGGAAGCGGTGAGTCTTCAGTGATTCCAACGGCTGTGTCCTATTGGCCCTAGAAACCACAGGTCTATATGTTTTAGCTTAAAAAATATATGAGAATGGTGATGCTGGGAAGGACTTTGGCAATCAGCCAGCCTAACTGCTTGCAAGCCAGAGGAGACACTGAAGTCCAGGCTCCAAGTCACTTGCACAAAGCTTTTGAGTTAATTTACCGTGATTTCTGGAACTGGAACCTAGATCTCCTTAGTCCAATTCTATGCTCTTACGTGTCTCTTGCATTCTTCCTCAACATATATTCCAACGTGCATTATTAATTTCCAACATGGTTACTTTTTTTTTTTTTTTTTTTTTTTTTTTTTTTAGTATCCATGTCTCCCCAGTCAACTATATGCTTTCCACATGGAGTCTTAAAGTCATGTAAATTAAATGAGAACAACGTGTTATACAGGAATGAGGGAATAGTTGCTGGATTTTTTTTTTAAATGACTTAAATCGATAGGTATTTATGGAAAAACACCAGAATCTTTATAAATATCTTCATGCTTAAATATATTTTAATTGGCTGCAATAATGAGAGAAAGACTCAAACAGAAGCCTAGGGATTAATAATTACTCTGCTAAAAATGATGAATTCTTGGCTGGCATGTTTGCAGGGGGAGGGCTGTGAGTCCCTGAATGGCTGGAACCCTGGCAGAGAGGAGCCCGGGGTGGCGGAAGAGGGGCATCACAGACAGATGCATCCTAGAGAGACTGGAGGGCTCGGAGCTTGGGGAAGAGACAGTTAAAGCTTCCCCGTGAGAGCGAGTTATATCACGCAGCGCCAGTGCCAGGTCAGCAGTCTGGCTGGAGCTGGACCGGCTGGTGGCGTCACGCAGTGCCAGGAACCCCTGGCAGCCCTGCAGAGGGTTCTCAGATCCAGATTTCATTCTGCAGCCCCGGCAGTGCTCTGACAACTGCCTCACTCAAGGAAGCTAAAAGCCGTGCTGATGTCTCCCAGACGAGCCTCGTTGGAAGCACAGAACCTCACGGCTCGGAGCCGCTGACATCGTGACAAAGGGAGCCCTGCTCAGGTGAGACAAGGCTCGGGGATTCGGAGGCTGGTCGGCTGGTCCAGGTCTCTGCTGTGTGCATGAGAAAAAGTCTGTCTGCCAGGCTGGACGCTGCTATCAGACAGCCTGATTTGCTGAGTCTTTCGGCATTTCCCTAATTCCTTTCTGAAAAGCAAGAGGTAGACTGATCATGCACCCGGGTCATAAAGCCCCCTCTGAAATCAGGGAGATGGCTTTCGAGAGGCTCCAGCCAAGGAGAAATCTAGCTCCGACTCTCAGATGTGTCAGCCTCTGCCCCGAGTCCATTCAGCAGCTCCCCAGAGGTGATTCCTTTCCACGTTTGGGAACTCATCATGGAATGCCAGCGATGGAATATTCCTGGGCATGTGGAGTGCTGGGTTCTAACTCAGAACCTGTCCTAGCGGCACCAGGAAGCCCTGCGGTGTCGGGCAAATCACATAACCTCTTGGTGTTTCTGCTCTCCATTGAAAACGATGGTTATGTGTTTACCATGACAGGTTTGAGCTCCTTAGGGGTAGAACTGTGCCCTATTTACCTTTGTTTACTGAGTTCATGGCCCAACGCCTGGTGTTTGACACACCTAAAAATTACCCCAGGGCTTGGTGCTTTGGGGCAGAAAGGTGATGGCAAGAGGCAGGTATAAACTTGGAAAAGCCATGAGATGTAGGTTAGAGTCTCGGTGACGTCAGCCAGCCATTCAGAGCCCCGTCAGATGACTACAGCTGTGTTTTGTGTTGTGTTTTGACATCAGCACAGAAGTGAGCCACTCTTAGGCTCATGGTGGGCACTGCAGCAAATGCCAGCCCTGGTGGCCTTAGCTTTGTGTATGCCCGACCCCAGTGACAGGTCTGAGGGTTGGAGAGGAGATGGGGCGTGATCTCAGGCTCTGGGATGAGGGCATATTTGGAACAGCATGGCCAAAGCCCTGTCATGATGACCAAATGGCTTTGATGACTCAGAGCCACACCCCAGTCGGAGCCCACCTCCAGGTTGGCTGATCCACTGGGCGGGGCTGGGGTTAGGGGGCAACACAGCTCCCTCAGTCAGGGGGATGTTCTTGTGTCAGTACCAAACAGATACATCCAGAAGGCAAATAGGACGGTGTTCGCTTCCTGATTAAATCTCCCTTTCCTCCCTCGCTGCCTTGGGGGTCCTGTTCGAGCTTCCTCCTTTGCCTGACTACGTCGATATTGGAGAACGTGATCTCCATTCTCTTGCTGGTATAGTCCCTTCTGGCCGTATTTCGGGAGATGCCCTGCTTCATTGCTTCCATGACAACAATTGCTTGTATTTTCCTGCCTGCTTCCCTATATTTCTCATCTGCGTGCCTCTGCTTAAGCGGGGCACTCCCTCCAGTGACCTGAATGACTGGTACTCATTATTTAAGACTAAGCTCGGCGGCAGCTTCCTCCAAAATGCCTCCTCCTGCTCTTTTAGGTGTTTCTCTCCTTGCCCTGAAAAACACTCAGCGTAGTATCTATTACGGAAGATTGTATTGCCATTATCCGCACCTGCCACACCCACCTGTGCTCTTTGAGGGCAGGGACTGTGGTTTCACACCCTGATAGATGCTGAGTCTAGTGCAATGCGCAGCCCACAGAAGGGAGAACCTTGCCCACCTGTGGGGAAGAAGAAAGAACTTCTTCTTCCACTTCCTGGGAAGGTAACAGGAGGCTTCCAAGCATTTCACGGTCCTCAAGAAGACTGTGGCTCTGGTTGACAACAACAACCAGGAGAAAGCAGAAGCCCAGAGCCCAGACACCAGCACTGGGGGTCTCAAGGAGGCTGCAGCTCCAGGGCTGGGGGACACGGGTGCTCGGGGCTCACTGCGGGGAGAGAGACTCTCACAGGTGAAGGCACCCGGCTCCTCTCGGGCTCGTAGCACCAGCCTGGTTTTGCGCTATGCTGGGTGGGGTGCAGGCTGAACCCTGGACTCAAAACAGAAGTAAGATTGAATGGTGGGGTGGACAGTGAGGTGAAGTGCTTAATGAGGATCAGATGCATTGTCAAATTATTTATTCCAGCATTGATTTGCTCCCAGGTGACAGTATGTTGTCTTAGGATTTGGGTAATTTGCACGTTTTTTTTTTTTTTTTAAGGCCCTGACTTTATCCAGAATGGAAGTCTGAGGCCCTCTGGTGTAGACAGTGAGGAGACCATCCTGGTGGAGCCTGGGTGCATGCATGTGGTGTTTCTAATTAGCCATTCGGCAGGGCAGAGAGGACCGTAGCCTCCGTGGTTCTTCCTGTTGGATGAGACCATTCTTTGAGCAGAGATTGCTACCAAGGCAAAGCAGGAACAGCGCGGACACCTAACTGAGCCCATGAGGCAGTCTTTGGGTGGTGACCAACACCCCACACTGGTTTAGGCAAGAGAGGAAATGTATTGAGTCAGGTGACCAAGAAGATCAAACTCACCTTTGACCAGCTGGACCCGTGGGCGGAATAAAGTCAACAGATGCAAGTTTGCTTTTTGTTCATTTTTTCTCTACTTCTCAAGCTTGCTTTTTTTTTTTTTTTTTTTTCCCCCTGAATTTACTTCCTTACAAGCAAACACTCCCTATGGATTGTCGAAGATAACTCTGCCAGTTCTCATTAGGGACTCCGGCGATAAAACGGATCCTTTCCCTAGAGTTCATGCACAATCCCTGGGTCCTTCGTTTGGCCCTGCTCGGCTCCAAACACATCCCAAGTACAGCCCTGGGGTCAGGGGATGCAGCGTTCGGAGGGGCCCAGTCTGGGTCAGTCCCTTCCCTGGCCCTGCCCCACCCCCATATGAGAAGTGCGTGCAATAAAGCCGCAACCCAAATGGGCAAGCAAGAGGGAAACTTAGAAATGACCCGGTTGACTTCCCTCATTTTAGGTTTATTAATGTGGGGAAAGGAGCAGTGCTGTGAATATTTTATATACTTACTGGTTACAATTGAGAGAATTAAAAGAAGGGAAAGGTGAAAAGAAAAACCCCACATAATCCCTTAAAATGCACATGTACTTCTAATTATTTGGTATTTTTCCCAAATATTTTTAAAGTTATCTACATCATTTGAAATATATCAATATTTTGGAGCCCTGAATTTACCTTAATCATTTTTCCTTGTCATTTATTTTTTAAAAAAATATTTAGTGAACTTCCTTAACACAAAATTATCCATTTTATCACAATTCATTCAGCCACTCCCCTAGTATCAATACTTTCTTTTTAGGGGTGAAGAAATTGAGGTCTAGAGAAGGTGATATTCCAAGATCAGGAGCAGAGCTAAGACAATCTTGTCTATACCTTATTTACCAAAGTTAACTTACTTATCTAATGTCTCTATCTGTATCTGTATCTATATCTATATAGATATCTGCAAGACATGAAAAAGTGATACCATTTTTTTTTTTTTTCTTTTTGGTGGCTTTAAGAATTGGCAGACAGGCCGGGTGTGGTGACTCATGCTTGTAATCCTAGCATTTTAGGTGACCGAGGCAGGTGGATCACCTGTGTTCAGGAGTCAAGACCAGCCTGGTCAACACGACAAAACCTTGTCTCTACTGAAAATACAGAAATTAGCCAGGCATGGTGGTGGGCACCTGTAACTCCAGGTACTTGGGAGGCTGAGGCAGGAGAATGGTTTGAACCTGGGAGGCAGAGGTTGCAGTGAGCTGAGACTGCACCATTGCACTGCAGCTGGGTGACAGAGGGAGACTCTATCTAAAAAAAAAAAAAAAAATCATATAAAAAAAGAGACATATTTGAGCTGAGTAAAATGATCCTCCCAAAATGAGGCTGCCTGAAGCTCTGATGAGAGGTATCCTCAGAAGAAGGGCCAGTGTAGCAGGTGGAAGTTGGGTTAGTTGCCCTGGGGTGCGGGAGGGCATCAGCAATGAGCTTTACTACATTTTGCACAGATAGAGAATATAAGAACAAATGGACACTGTTCACGAAGGGCGCATGTAGGTGTGGCCTCTGCCTGCACATTTTCGTCCACTCAGTAGAAATTGATTGCTACCCTACTCTGCCAGGCACCTTTCTAGATACCGAGGAGAAGCAGAGAAAAAATAGGTGATGTGCTCTCAGGGCTCTCTTATACTAGACGTGGAAGGGTGCATATAAAATCTGACAAAGAATGGAAATGAAGATGACCAGATGGAGACGGATGTGAATTCAAATGGTGAACAATGACAAGGGCTGGAGAGCATTGGACTGGGATTAAGTTGTCGAAGTGGCTACTTAGGAGGTGAGGGTTCAGATGGATTGTGATGGAGAAGATGGGTGGGGTGACAGAGCACCTCAAGCCAAGGTGAGCTGGTGCAAAGGTCCTGGGGTAGGTGGTGCAGGGCTTGTTTGAGGAACAGAAGAAAGGGCATCCTGTGCCTGTGTGGCTCGTGGCTGAGGCTCAAAGGAAGGTGTGGAGTCAGTCTAGACTGAAGTCGGCGAGAGGCAGGGCCAGGTGAAGGGTTTATATTTCCTTCTAAGTGTGCTGGGAAGCTCTCGGGAGGTTTGCAGCTGACTAGTGCCACGCTCTAATTCCATTTGGGAAGATCACACTGGCTTCTCTGAAAGCACAGATTTTATGGAACCAGGAATGGCAGCAGGGGGACTGGTGAGGAGGTGACTGTGAAGGTCCCGGCGGAGCACTCTGCAGCCTGGTACCGGCTTGGAAAAATCAGCTGGGAGGGGCTGCATGGCGATCGGTCCCCAGGCCACAGCAGAACTGAATGGCACTGGCGAGGGGGTGGTGAGTGGTGGCTGCTTAGCGAAACGGAGAATTAAAGGGAAGCCTTAACATTTTAAAAACATATGAAAATTTAACACCCAGTCTGTTTTTCCTTCATTTTCTACTTCATTCAGGAGAAAAGCAGACAAGTGGGAGATATCGAGATTCAGATAATCCAACACTCAGGCAGATTGCCTCCAGAGTGCTTCTATCCCAGCAGCGCAGCGAGGGAGGGGCCTGTGTCACCTCACAGATGGGCCACAGGGTCCTGCAGCTCCTTAGGGGTGGAGCCAGGTTTGGA